GGAAGGAAGAAGACAGACTTCTTGCCCATCATTGGAGGCCTCCACTCTCAAAACTCTCTCCAGATGGCCCACATTTTGAACAGCTACAAGTTTCCACAGGTATTGCCATTTTTCATAGAGCAGCTTCTTTAGCAAAAGTGCTCAAAGAAGATCTTGATGGGAAACTTGGAGGGTTTCTGATTCTGCCATGCTTTTGCACTAGAATCCAAAATTATAGGCAGAATGGAAAAGCTCCATGTTCTTCAAGATCCCAAAAATATTCTCCATTTAATTTTCTATGCCTCTTTCTTTCAAACAGCTCGGTTTTGGTCAGTTTGACCCAGTTCTGAGTGATAAAGAGCAGTTCCCTTATTTCTTCAGTATGGTTCCCAATGATAACGTCCAATATGAAGGCATTATTCATTTACTGAAACATTTTGGATGGAACTGGATTGGCCTCCTAGCATCAGAGGATGAGAATGGGGAAGCCTTTCTTCAAAGTATCCAGCCAAAGCTCTTCCAGAATGATATTTGTATTGCTTGGAAGCAATTGATCCCAGCTTTTAAAGGTGGAGACTGAGGGAGCTCTTTTTATCACATCTATCCAACATACAAAGCACTATCTTACTGAAGGAAATCAATGTGTTCCTTGCCTCTGGAACCATCCAATCTATGGAAGCTTTTCAATACATTCTACATGTTTTGGAAAGATCCAAGAAAACCAAAATATATCACAGAGTATGGATCATGACATCTCAGTGGGATTTCATTTTTATGATATTCAAACCAGGGAGATTCCCAGCCCAAACTTTCAATGGGTCCTTATACTTTGCTTTGCACACAAAAACAGCACCAGTTTTCATGAAATTCTTCATGGGAGGATAACGTTTTCAAACTCCTCTTCTTTCATGAGGAGATTCTGGTGGACTATATTTGATTGTTCCTTCCGTCCAAATTCCAAAGGAGTGAAACGCTGCACTGGGAAGGAAGATCTCAGCAGTGTGCCTGGTTCTTTGTTTGAAACGTCCATGTCTGGAGAGAGCTATAATATCTACAATGCGGTTTATTCTACAGCACATGCTCTCCAAGCAATGCATTCAAGAAGAAATAAACTAGTTTTTGGGAGAAACCAGGATGGAGCAAGTCTTTGGCATTTTCAACCATGGCAGGTATGACATCATTCTTCCTAGGTACAGGTATATAATTCCTGAGAACATGAATCAGCAATATAAAAGCTCCGGAGTAGTTCCTCTATAGAAACCAAATTAACTGTTAGCAATTCAGTTACTTATGCATTTCAATTTCATATCAAAAGTTGTCTCCAATTTAAAGTAGCTCCAGAAGGAATTCTTTGATGGAGATGTTTTTTCATTGAGTGCTGTGCCATGCTGTGAAGGTTCATTAATTTTAGCAATTGCAAACACACTGATTCTCTCCTAAAATTTGAATGCTCAAAACTAAAATTATTGTAATTCATTACCATACACTTCAATCTTTTTCAAGAGCTTCAGCTCATGGATAGACATCCTGGCACTATCTGGTTGAATTAGTTGGTACAAATCACAATTCATAGTTCCACCAATGATCAAACTGGTCAATAGATTATCTCAATTGCTATGTCCTTCCGCCCTAATTTACAAAATTTCCCCTTCCAATTTGGGGGATTCTATTTCCACGGTCACATTATGAAAGCATTAAATGCATTCAAATAGTCTGGGCATATGGATATGAAGGATTGGAAACACTAAATTAAGTTTGCAAGATATGTAAAAGTGTTAGTTAATATTTATTGAAGGAAGGTGTGGACTCAGATTGAAATAAAATTCTACAAAGCTGTGATTCAACAGCAAGAGATATGTAGTGCTGCAGTGCCCTGTGCTTCGCTTTCCTTTACATCATACACAATGGATACCAGGGGTGAAATGCTACCATTTTGAACTGGTTCACCTGAACTGGTAGTAAAAAAAAAATGCCACCAGTTCAGGAGAATCAGTAGTTCCAATGACTAGCTGTGCAACAATCAGCTATGATGCACAATTAGAAATCACGCAGCACAGCTGATTGTCATACAGCTGATCATTGGAACTACCAGTTTGCCCAAACCAGTAGGATTTTTTTTACTACCGGTTTGGGTGAACCACGTGCATGCACACATGAAGCAAACTGGTAGCAGACTTCAGAGAATTTCACACCTGATGGATAACCTCCCCTATTTATGTGGGATGGCCTCTTTCCTTCTATTTTTTATTTATTCAACAAAAAAGGGCAGTTTGTGTGAGAATGCTATTTTATATGAAAAGAATGTTGATTTAAAAATTAAAATATTCAAGGTAAGCATGAGAAAAATCCCATCTGATTTCTGAAATTTGCCTTCTACTGCTTGTTTGTTAGTCATCTCAGCTCAAATGAATTGATTTTCTTTCTGTCTGCTTTTTTAAGGTCCAGGTTTCATAACCATACGTAGCTATGGGGAACACCTTAGAGTGAACTAACCTACATTTGGTTGCCAGGCTGTGTTCTTGCCTTTCCATATTTAGCTCATGTTCATTATTGCTGTGCAATGCAGTACAATCTGATGCTTTATTTCTGTGCCGTATTCACCACTTTGAACCATCTGCAATCTAGGAAAGTGAATTTTTCCACACATTTTATCTCTTCACCATCAATTTCTGTTTTGATGTTTCACTTCCTTGCAGTGGTCATGAGCTTGGTCTTTTTGATGCTCAGAAAAAGACCAACATTCTCATGTTCTTCTTTGATTTTCTTGATCAGATCTTCCAAGCCTTCTTTGATTTCTAAGAGGAGAGCTGTATCGTTAGCATATCAAAGACTCTTGATGTTTCTTCCAACAATCTTTACCCCAATTTTTCATTCTTCAAGATCTACCTTTGTCATTATCAATTCAGCATACAGATTGAATAAGGAAGGGAATCAGAGGTGGGTTCCTACTGGCTTGGGCCAGTTTGGCTGAACTGGTAATGGTATGGTGGCCTCGGTTACTGGAACTGGCAGCAAGCCAGGCCTGCCACACCCCAGAACCAGTTTCCTGGTCACCGCTGCCACTGCTGCCATCTTGCTTTTGAGTTCTGCGCATGCGCAGAATAATTTTAATTAAACTGCACATGCACACGTAGCGCACACATGCACGATCCGGCAATAAAGCTGGCTAGAACCCACCCCTGAAGGGAATGAAATCTTGTTGCACTTTTTTTTCTATGTTAAACCAATCAGTGTCTCCATATGGCATTCACATAGTGGCTTCCTGATTTGTGCACAGTGATCGCACCAACTTGATCAGTTGTGCTTCGTATCTCCAGATCTTGTAGGGCTCTCCATAGCTTTTCATGATCAACTCAATCAAAGGCTTTCTTGTAGCTCATGAAGCACATGTAGATGATATTTTGATATTCATGATATTTTTCCATTATCCAGTGCAGATTTGCAATATGGTTCACGGGTGCCACCACCATTTCAGAAGTCATCTTGGACATCTGGTCATTCCCTTCCAATGGTTGATGCTAGACATTGTCTAATTTTAAATAGAATCTTAGCAATAGCAATAGCAGTTAGACTTATAATACAGCTTCAAAGGCTTTCAGCCCTCTCTAAGCGGTTTACAGAGTCAGCATATTGCCCCCACAGTCTGGGTCCTCATTTTACCCAC